CAGCAAGACACTTCTTTGAAAACTGACCAACTGGCTGTAAAAGGATAAGAGGCTTCCGAGGGGAGGTTCGTTTGGGGTGCTGCCAGGTGTGGCTTCAGAGCCTGGGTTCGCTATCCGCTGAAAACCCTTGGACCAGTTCCTCACTCTGTATTGATTTCCGTATGAATTGAACAGGGGTAGGAAGAGCCCTTCTGGAGGTTGTCCAGGCACTGAGCGGCTCCAGGGATGTATGTGATGTGTGTGCTGGCCCGCAGCACGCTTGAAACCTGCAGCTTCAGCCACTGCCGCCTCCGTCCCCAGGACCCTCGTGGGACATAGTGGTACCATGGGTGGGTCTTACGTGCCAGGGCGGTTTAGTCTCCCATCACCCCCACCCCCATCCTCCCAGGCCGTGCCTCTCCTTGGCCGTTACGCAGCCACTCATGGTGGTCTGAACCTTCCAGAGAGCCATAGACCCCACCTCTTCACTCCAAGGAGGTGGGGATGCTGTCTCAGTGATAACACTCCCAGTGTGTGAGACTTATGTTCCCACGAGAAAGCATCAGAGCCTTTCAGACAGACCCAGGCAGGAAGAAGGAAGCACCCACAGGCAGACTGAAATCAGTGAACAGGGGTTTGTACTTTAAAGTTGAAAATCAGAAGTGACCTGTGAGTTTCTTCCCTTTGCTTGTGTGTGTGTTTAGTCACTCAGTCGTGTCCGACTCTTTGCAATTCCATGAACTGTAGCTTGCCAGGCTCCACCATCCATGGGGATTTCCAGGCAAGAATACTGGAGTGGGCTGCCATTTCCTCCTCCAGGGGATCTTCCTGACCCTGGGTTTTTATTTTCTTAAAGCAACCAAAATACACCCCTTTTCTGTTATTTTTTTTAAAAAAAGTTTCCTTTGAGATACAAAAGCTCAGGGGAGCAGCATGTTCTTTTGAGCCATGGAATTGTCCGTCCACATAGGCCATCTCAGGGCCGTGTCTTACTTGGTCAGGTTTAGTTTGGAAACTAGCCTTAATGTTGTTAATATTACATACCTTCCACCAGAAACCTATAACCTGTCTCTTAGTCACATCCCTCTTCTGAGTCCCCTCAGATGATTATTTCAAACAGGCCAGAAACTTTTCTTGTTCAGGTCTTGACCCGAAATTTTTCCTGGGGCCTTTTTAACTGGGCTGCATTTGTCTTTGTTTGATCTCCTAGACCTCTAGATAGACACTGAAGTCCCAAGGCTTTCAACAGCCCTCTCTTAGAGACTCAGCTGTTTTATTAAAAAAAAAAAAAAAAAATCCTCTTCCATTTCTGCAGGCCGGGGGTCCTCTTTCGAGATAAGCAGCTCGTCCCGACTCTCACCCGTTTTCAAAACCCTGCCTCTTTAGGGAACTGTCTGGTAGCTTCTGTCTTTATCTTGAGACTCAGAGACGAGCGTGACCCGGAGTGTCTGTCTGAGGCGGCAGAGATGCCGTCACACAGATACACCAGGCACTATCTGCTCCAGACACTAGCTGTCTGCGGTGCTTCCCTGGACCATTGACGACGTCCATACACCATTTGTGCCCACAGTTCTTGCCCTGGGCTTCCTCTCTCCCTTTTGTCTTGGGCTCTTTCAAGAGCCTCGTGGAGGAGGGTTCCGAGCCGCCCCAGAGCTGTGTGGGGAGCGCGCTGCCATGGGTCAGTAACGCCTGACCTGAACGCAGCAGTGACAGCGGGGAGATCAGCCCCTGGCGTCCGTTCGGCAGTGTTCGCTGGACGGCCGTCTTCAGCAGTTCTAAAGCAGTTTTTAGCGTGCAAGTTCCGCACATCTTTTGCTAAGTTTATGCCTAAGCATCAGCGTTTCTGTTTTTGGCGTGATTGTGCATGGAGTTGTTTTCTTGCCTGCTTGCTTTCTCTGGCTGTGTCTTAGTTGCGTCATTCGGAACCTTTCCTGGTGCCGTGTGGGTTCAATAGTTGTGGTTCACGGGCTCAGCTGCCCTGAGCACGTGGGGTCTTAGTTCCCCGACCAGGGATCAAACCCACGTCCCCTGCCCTGAAAAGCAGATTCTCAACCACTGCACCACCAGGGAAGTCCCTGTCTTCCGCACTTTTTCCCCCCTTTTTAGTCTTTTATTTTTTATATACCTAGGATCTTTCCATAAGTGTTACTGTCTTCAGCATTTTTAACTGTCCCCTTGAACTATAATTTTCACCTGGACCTGGGAAAATGAAGTCTTTTTCCTCACAGGCTAGCTGACCAGACAGTTTGGCAGCTCAGTCGCTGGTTCCGTGTTTCTTGGGACCCTGTGGTGTCATTCATCTCTCCAGGGCCCTGGCGTGTCCCTGGACCTGGGCAGGAAGCAGCAAGCTCAGAGCAGCTAAGAGCAGAGTCTGTCCTGTCCCCTCACCGAGGTTTCAGCCAGATCGCTGGAGCCACCATTTTATCCCCCATTGTGCTTACAGCTCTCAGAAGGAAACTTACACGCCAGCCAGCCCCTCTTCCTTCCCTCAGACTAATTCTCTCATCTGTCCCTCATTTCAATTTCATTTCTCTCTTTCTCTCTGGCTGAACCTGATACTCACTTCCTAATTAGAGATTATGCGCATTTTCGTGGTTCTTAAAGCCTGGGTTTTCTTGAAACTGATGAGTTTATATCCCCCATCAAAGGGAAACCTCGAGGGTAATAGGATTAACCAGTGACTTATTTCCTTCCTAATTTTCTATATTTTCCAATTTTGTCAATGAGCATATATTACTTGTATAATCAGAAAAAAATAAGTGTATTTTGAGAACAAAATGTCTAGACTCTTGGTTTTAGCCTTTTCTTGCTTTCTGTTTTTTTTTTTTTAAGTAGTAGACCTCTTTGTTCAAATCTTAAAGGGAAACAAATGAGAGAAAAGCTCTTCTCACTGAGGCAGGATCTTCAGTGAGATCCTGTGTATGTGTATGTGTTTATGCCTCTGTGTGTGTTTACATCTGTGTCTGTGTATATTTGTGCGTGTCTGTGTGTGTGTTCATGTGTATGTGCTTGTGTGTGTGTCTGTGTGTGGGCTTGTCTATGTGTATTTGTGTGTCTGTATTTGCATATGTGTGTTTGTGGGTTTATGCATGTGTCTCTGTGTGTTTGTATGTGCCTGCCTGTTTTGTGTGTATGTGTGTGCACGTCTTACTGTGTGCATGTCTGTGTATGTGTGTGTGTGTGTCTGTGTGTGGGCTTGTCTATGTGTATCTGTGTGTCTCTGTGTATTTGCATATGTGTGTTTGTGGGTTTATGCATGTGTCTCTGTGTGTTTGTATGTGCCTGCCTGTTTTGTGTGTATGTGTGTGCACGTCTGACTGTGTGCATGTCTGTGTATGTGTGTGTGTGTGTCTGTGTGTGGGCTTGTCTATGTGTATCTGTGTGTCTCTGTGTATTTGCATATGTGTGTTTGTGGGTTTATGCATGTGTCTCTGTGTGTTTGTATGTGCCTGCCTGTTTTGTGTGTATGTGTGTGCATGTCTGACTGTGTGCATGTCTGTGTGTGTCTGACTGTGTGCATGTCTGTGCGTGTCTGTGCATGTCTGTGTGTGTGTGTGTATGTCTGTGCGTGTCTGACTGTGTGCATGTCTCTGTGTGTGTGTGTGTATGTGTGTGCATGTCTGACTGTGTGCATGTGTGTGTGTGTGTGTGGTGTTTAGGGGATACCTCCTGTGTTGCTGGATATTCTGATTTTTTTTCATCCCCAGAAGGGAATACACATCTGGACCCTCTTTGCACATCACATGGGAAATGATGTCTGGCCCAGCGCTGGCCTCTGTGATTACAGAGTTAATGCCTTTCCCACAGAGCCTGCACCATCAGTTGTGAGTAGCTGCACTGCTTCTGGGCAGAACATTCCCTTTGTCTGGCAGTTAACAGACTGCACTCTTCTCCTGTCTCCTGCAGGCACTCTGCCTGCCCGGGTGGAACGGAGTAGAGATAGTGTGTCACAGGCAGGGCCGTTTTCTCAGGACAGCCTATTCAGAACAGATAGGAAGAGTGATTCCCTGAGCTGTTCTTGGCTGGCCTTGAAGTCTCCTGCCTTCCCAGCCTCGTTTCAGGTGGTCCAGCAGTCTCCCTTTAGGAATATGCCTCTCCACTTCTGGAAGCGCCAGTACCCCTTCCCTCACTGGGACTGGTGGTTCTGTTAGGGACGGTGTGGAGGAGAGAAAGGACCAAGTCCCGCATGTGCCAGCTCCAGCGCCAGCCTCCTGGGGTTGGAAACATGGCTCTGCCATCTACTGACTCGGTGGCCTTGTCCGAGCTACTCACATCTATACCCACACTAAGCCTCAGTCCTCCCACTGTTAAAAGCGATAAGATTCTATCTGAAAACTCCTCGGATCCTCATGAAAATGAATCCTGGGGATTATTAAATGAGAAAGTGTGTGCAATATGTTTAGTTGAGTCCCGGTAGTGGTCTTACAAATGTTTGTTGTTATTGTCATCTTGATGATGCCTTAGTCGTGCGGTGTCCCCACGTCTCAACACTCCTGGCAAGGTTCAAACCAAGTTTCTGAATGTTTACAAGGAAAGAAAGATAACGCTGTGACTCTTGTGAAGGTGAGAAAATTTGTAGTGGGGGAGCACAACTCTGTGATATTGGGGAAGTCAGGAGCCCCAGCTCCTACCTGGACAGGTAGAGCTCAGGGTTTGCCAGCCATAGGTCGGTGGTGTCATCTCTGCAGGAGCAGCTAGAGCTAGAGCCTCTTCTCTCCTTCTAGAAAAAACTCTTTGAAGACTAGCCCATGGGGTGAGCAGGATCTATTCATACAACTATTTTGACTACTGTTTCTTGAGTACTTACTATAATGCCAGGCCCTATATTTTTATTTTCTTTTCTTATCACAGAGTCCCTACAAAGAAGCTATGGTACTCATTTCTCCGAATCACAAAACAGGTCCATAGAGGAAATCAGCCAGCGTCCCATAGTTAAAAAGAGAGCTAGTTCCCAAAACTAAACTCCAAACCCATCTGCTTTTATCGCCCTACATCCTATTCTCTTATCATTTCCCCCAAAGGACCATGAAGCAGAAGTTTTCCACCAACTACAGGCATTTCGCATATGACTGGGTATTGAAAAGAACTCCTGTTAAAACATCTTTTATTTTCCCTGCCAGAGAAGGTGCACAGTTCAGAGTTCCATTTGGACAGACTCTCTGGGTTTGCTCCCAGGTGGGTAAAGCCCCAACCCAGCCATGGGCTGTTTCTTGACTGGGCCACGAGGCTTCTCTGTCACCTTGCTCTTTCCTGGACAGTTGCTTCAGGATAGATTTGAATTCACCATGTTTGCAGGTTGACCACATAAACACTGGCCTTTCCTGGAGACTACCTGAACTATCTTGAAATTGTGATACCCAGAGGGTGTCACAGCCCCAAGACTGGAAAGTGGGATGTTTGAGGAGCTGAACCGCCCCGGAGAATCCCTTCTGTTTCACCACAAAGGAAAGCTTGAGGACGTGCGTCTGCTCTGGAACTCCTGCCTCAGGATCTGAGATGAACAGTCTGGAAAAAGATGTCTCATCACCCATTGGCTCCCTCAAGGTGATCTTCACACCTCCCTTGTCTGTGCTTCCTTCTTCCCCATGCCCTGTGGGTCCTCTGGGTTTCTTCATGGGTTCCTTCTCAGAAGAATGCTTCTACTGTCTGTCATTTTACTTTAGAGAGCGAGCACTCCATTCTTTGCTAATATGATCCCTTCTTCTAACATCATCCTCCTGCCCTCACCTGTCCCAGGCTTCCCTCTCTTTCCCCTCTTCTCCATCTCTGGAGAAGCCACTGGGAAATGGCATCTTGCCTTTGACCTTCTTTGTGCTGATTCTTTCAAAGAAAGAACCACCTCATGATGTCTTGTCTTCTAACCATTTCTGCTTGTCTTTTGTGGGACCCATACTTTTCCTACTGGTGCTTTAATATCCTAAATTTTTTAAGTGAAAAAGAATAAAAGTTGTGTGATTTCTAAAGTTGACTTATCCTCCTAAAGGGGATTCCCTCTGGCCTCTCTTGATCTCTCTTCTCAGCAACTTCCTTGATCTCTCTTATCGTCAACCACTTACTTTCAATAAACATCATTTTTGGAAGCCCCCATTGTCTGGTAGGGTTCCAGCTTTCCGACAGTCTCCTAGGGGATCCACTTGTGTCATGCCTGTGTTCTTCAGCCACTTGCAGTTATCTGGGGTCAGTCAGTCACCAGGAGGAGAGCGGATTGGGCTGGCACAGCCCCCAACCTTAGGGAAGTTTATGTTCTTGTGACTTGACTTCCCCTCAAGGACTAAGCTCTTGGACCAGTTGAATCTCAAGGTTGCCATATGATGCTGATTCTTTTGGACTTGTGTCATGCCTATGTTCTTCAGCCACTTGCAGTTATCTGGGGTCAGTCAGTCACCAGGAGGAGAGCGGATTGGGCTGGCACAGCCCCCAACCTTAAGGAAGTTTATGTTCTTGTGACTTGACTTCCCCTCAAGGACTAAGCTCTTGGACCAGTTGAATCTCAAGGTTGCCATATGATGCTGATTCTTTTGGTTGGCAGAGTAATCAATTGAAGTTTTTAAATGCATTTTCCTCCATGCTGTTTGCAATTTTTCATCTTTCGGTTCTTTAATAAATTTGTACTGAGGACTTAACTATGTTCTTGGTGCTGAGCTTAGACCCAGGGGTTGATCTGGGAACAAAGTCACCCCTGCTCTCCTAGAACCTGTGGTCGAGTGGGGAAGAAGGATGAGTCAGTCAAATAATTATGCTGAAATGTGTAAAATTTCAGCCATGAATATGTTTGAAGGAGAGGCACATAGGGCTGTGAAAGCATGTACCAGCAGACCTCAGAGATATTGCAGGTTTGGGCCCAGGCCACTGCAAGTAAAGTGAATATCTCAATAAAGCAAGTCATATGAGTTTTTTGGTTTCCCAATGCATATAAAAAGTTATGTTTGCACTATACTGTAACCTATTAAGAATCCAATAACATTACACCTTTTAAAAAAGTGTACATATGTTAATTTAAAAATGTATTTTTTTATTGATGAAAAACACTAATCATCATCTGAGCCTTTCAGCAAGCCACAATCTTTTTTCTAAGAGTGATATCAAAGATTACTGATCACAGATCACCATAGCCAGTATAATAATAGTGAAAAAGTTTGAAATGTAAGAATTATCAAAATGTGACACAGAGGAAAGAAATGAGCAAATGCTGTTGGAAAAATGGCACCCTTAGACTTCAGCCATACAGGATTGCCACAAATTTGTAAAAAAAAAAAAAACAAAAAAAACGACAATAAAACAAAGTGTGCCTGTAATGCAAAGGGATGGTGTGCTCTGGGTAAGTGGCTCTCCAAGCATGGTCCCTGGACCACCAGTCTCAGCATAACCTAGGATCTTGTTAGAGATATACATTCTCAGTTCCCACCACAGACCCACTGGATTAGAAACTCTAGGAACAGGGTTCAGCTCCTGTCTTCAGACACGTTCAGGACACTGTGATACACAAGTTAGAGAACTCTTGCTCCAGATGGTCAAAGTCAGCTTCTCTGAAGAAATAACTTCTGAATTACGAAGAAAAACTAGGCAATTAGGGTAGGATGGGGAAAGTCTTTCAGACGGAAAGAATGGCATGTGTAGAAGTCCGATCGTGAGATCAGGGAGCTCCTGAAAACAGGAAGATGTGCCATACAGGAGGAAGAGAATGGAGAAGGTGAGTATGGACAAGATGCCCGGGGCCAGGAAATGCTGGTCATTTGCAAAGGATTGGGCAATAGAGAGCTTCTGGTACGCTAGGAACTCAAGGATGGTGTGATCTCACTTATTGGGCAATACAAAGCCTCTGGTATGCTAGGAACTCAAGGATGGCATGATCTCACTTGCTTTTATCTAAGGAATAATTCTAGCTACAGTATGAAGAAAGGATTGAAGCAGAGCAAGAGTAGACCTGCTGGAGATTGTCTCAGGAATCAGGGGAAAGCTGATGACGGTTTCTGGAAGGATGAATGAAAGACACAGATTCACAAGATTATTAGGTAATGCCCACAGGTCTCGGTCATCAACTGGACGTGTCCAAGAATGACTGGTGTTTTGGGTTTACGTGCAAGATGGAGGAGGAGGATGCCAAGCTTGGCAGTGGGAAGAGACCATGAGGCATTCCTATTGTGTTCGACGAGCCTTTGAGCCACCTGTGTGCAGATATCAATTAGACGGTAGAAGGTGTGGGCCTGGAGCTCCTAGGAGAGGTCAGGGCTGACAGCACATCTTGGTGAGTCATTGAAAACTAAGCGACCATTGATAAGATCACCCAGGAGAAGGAATGTAATGAAGAGAAGAAAGCCAGAATACATACTGGGGAACTTCAGCATTCTTGTTGACTGGTCAGGAAGAGTCAGGATGACCCCCACACACCTGGTTTAGTGTAAAGAGTAGAGAGAAGGAAGAAGACTGGAAACCAGGAGAATCGTGTGTCACAGAAGCCAAGGGACAGTTTGCAGGAGGGAGCGCTCAGTGACAGTGAAGAGGAGTATACGGCAAGAGGCGGCTGAAGGATGCTTGTGGATTAGGTGACTTGGAGGGTCATTTGTGGTTTTAGCAAGAGCTATTTCAGTGGAGTGGAAGAGAGAAGAAGCTAGAGTGCGGTGGAATGAGAAATTAAAGGTAAGGAAATGGATAAAGTGAGGACTCTAGACAGCTTTTTGGAAATGGTTGTAAAGAGGAGGGTATCTGTGGATGGGAGATGTGGAGTCAAGAAGACTGTCCTGGTTTGTTTGATTTTTGAGATGCAAGTGCTTCTCACACGTTAAACCCTAAAGACTTCATTGAAAGGGAACAGTTGAATAAGAGAGATGGAGCCAACCGAGGTTAACAAGAACCAAGATCCTAAACAGATGGGAGAGCACAGAGGTGCTCGGATTCTGGAGTTCCCACTGTAGCCTGGATTTTTCCGAACCTCTGTGACCTTCCCAAGGCCGGATCCCCTGACCTCGAATGCCCGCCACCCCTCCCTTTCTTGGCATTCTCCTCCTGCTGACTTGCCCACAGCTCCTTTCCTGCAGCCCACTCAGTTGTTTTGTCTGCTTTCTTCACCCGCTGTTAAGTTATTAACTTGTCAGGGTCTAGACTCCCCACTTCCTTTCCCACTTTGAACCCACTCTTGGCTCCCTTCCCATTCACTGCCTCGGAAAGTCAGCACTACGGAGGCCTGGATTGCTTGGCGGGTCATTACTGGCGTGCACACAAAAGTACAGTTAACATAATTGGTATAAGATGGTAAAGCCTTTTTAAAGACCTTGATGCAACTGAAAAAAAAAATCATAAAATACAACCATCTCTCCATTATCTTAGCAGGGGAGGCAAATGGTGAACTTAAAGTAGACTTTATTCAAAGTAATTTCTCCAAGAGGACTCGATTTTAAAGGGTCACCTGTAAACATATTAAAGACCATCAGATTATACATGTTAATTCATGGATTCAGTAAGGGTCAAGAATGACCTTTCCTTAGTTTTTAAAGCAGACACAGAGATAGGTGCGTTTTAATATAAGCGTTGCTACTCTGAGGTAAGCAAACTTTGTCTAAGATTCTTGAGAGAAATTTGCAGCAGTTCCTTAGAATTGAGTGGTTTTATCATTACCCAGCACTTTCGAAATCATGGAATAACTTAAATGGGATCTGATGGATTAAGACACACACTGTTTCCTAGTCATTGGCCTACATACTGCTGAAAATGATTTGTTGTCTAAGAATAAATATCACAGAGAAACAGTATTTTGGAGCATCTATTGTGAGCATCTTTTATTTATGTCATCATATTCATTCCTTGCAATTCTTTGGAATACATATTATCTACAGTTTTATAAATCAGAGAAATCAGGACTCAGAACTATTTAGTGAATTCCAAAAATTCATATTCTGGCAGGTGGTAAATAGCTGGTAAATAGCCCTTGAGTTCTGGTCTTCATGGGCATACCTGGAGAGGCCGCAACCATCATTGTAGTAATAGTAACTAGTAATACCAATAGCTCCCATGCACCAAAACCTTGATATGTGAGGAGCCTCATCTATATCATATGTTTAATCCCTGTATTAACACAGCAAGCAACATAGTCCTCATTTCACAGCAGAGGAGACAAGTGTGAAGAGGTTAAATTATTCATACAGTCACACCGCTGGTCAGTGAAGAGTGGAGAGTCAAACCCAGTTCCCTCTGACCCTAACACTCTCTTCTAAAGTTAAGCCCATTTGTCCAAATTAGAGATATTTTCCTGATCCCAAGAACAAAGCCTGAGGCATGGTGGATGTAAATATTTTTTTCCTAATGTACTTGAATAAAAAGCTGCCTGCTAGGACTCCTATGTGAAGCCAGAACACAGAATGTTTATTTAATATTTATTCCTCGTTAGCTTTGCTAGAGGAAGATGGAAATGTCCATATTCCAGCAAGCTTATACATTTGGGTGAGTACTTCCTCATCCATCTAGCAACTTCTCCTGTCAAAAATCACCCCAAAATCAGAATAAGCCAAGAAAAGCTCTGAGCACAGCCAGGGTTAAATATCACGACTTGTTGAATTAACTCCTTTATCTAGAAAAGAGTCCAGCCTTCACATACAACCAGTTGACTCTAGTTTTACACATAGTTCTACCAATCTTTGTTTTTGACTTAGTCTGCAGCTCATAATAATAGAAGAGGGCCCACTGCAGACTGGTGTAGTAACACCAGAGATGTGATCAGACACAAGAACCCTTGAGCCCAAATAACCACAAGAAGCATAAAGGAGAGCCCAAGATGTGTGGTTGACTGGAGGTATTTGGGGATCAGATCAAACACTGTGCATCCGCTGTAACAACATAACAGCAGAGCCTTATCAGTTATCACTTCTTATTATGGTCACACTGAACATTCATGAAAACCTAATATTAAATCACATTGGATGTATATCCAATTTAGGAAAGTCATGATGATGTACACAGTGATTTTTTTTTTTTTTTTTTTTTTTAGTTTATAAAAAACCAACTACAGGGACTTCCCTGGCAGTCCAGTGGTTAAGACTATGCCTTCCATTGCAGGGGCTGTGGGTTCGATCCCTATTCGGGCAGCAAAGATCCCATGTGCCTCGTGGCCAAAAATCCAAAACATAAAACAGAAACAATACTTTAACAGATTCAATAAAGACTTTAAAAATAGTCCACATAAAAAAAAAAAATCATAAAAAAAAAAAACGACACCCAATTTCATTCGTGCTTAATCTACCCTTCAAATCTAGCTGTCCAAGAAAAAGCCCCTGTGAATTATCTTTGGGTCCCCAAACACAATGCCCGGCCCATGGTATATGCTCACTAATGTTAGATGATAAAATCTCAAGCCTTTTGTTTTTTGAAGGTTCTGAGTAGCCCCTTTCACTCTCGTTACTTAGGATACAGCATTCCTGGGTCTATTCCAGGAAAACTTTATGAAGGGGAGAGGGGCTAAACCCCTGAAATGACTTCTGCTTGTTCTGTGTTTACAGATGATTACATGGTACCCAGATGCTCCTCAAAAAAAAAAAAAAAAAATCATTCCGTACATGTTCATTGCTGTTATCATCATGATTGTCTTCATCACGATGGACCCATATTGTATATTTTACACCTGGGGAAGGTGTGAAAAAGAAGTTGGACCTTCCTCTCCTGGGGACACATTTAAACCCTTTAGACCAAACCAGACTGGGAACTATCCAATCGGCTCTAACCCAAATAAGGAGGGGATGGGCCCCAGCAATTGTTTGTTGGACATTCAGGCTACCCACCCCTTCAGTTTATCAGGAAGGTGTTAGTTCCACTTAGTGAGGACAGCACCCTGAATAAATCAGTGCAGCTCTTGGTGTATTTCAAGTTGAATTTCAGAAAATTCCAGGCCGCCTGAAGATGCACTTGTATCAAAGGTTATCCGCAGCCAGGGGGGCCAGCTCCGCGTGTCTGCTCCCAGCACCTGGCCTTCCTTCCAGTTCAAGGGCAGCTTCTTTTCCAGGTCACAGCCATTGGGAAGAGGCAGCGTCGATGACCTGTTAAATGAGCGCCCCGCCCGCACTCAAGCCCTGCTCCCCACTCCCCAGCAGCATCAGAACCTTCTGGGGACGGAGGCCAAATCTCTCAGCATCTGAGGGCTTGCTGGCCTCCACTCTCGGTGGAATTAGCAGGAGTTATCCATAAATCCCCGCAGCATCCATCAGCAGACAGAGCAAGACTGCCTTTTTAAAGAAGTTCACTGACCTCTTGTTAACTTAACTCCTTGTTAGGAAATCTCTAATCAGCTGTGTGCTAACAGGCCCAGGGCCCCGGGTCAGCAGAAGCGGGGCTGGCGGTGGGGTTGGGTTTCCAGCTGTGTGCTGTCGGGGTCTGAGCAGACTGTTTTGTTTTCCTCGTCCAGCTATCTTCCAGATCATTCAGAGCATCAGAATGGGCATGTGAGCCGGCCCTGGGGGTTTGACAACGCCCCCTCCCGCGGGAGGGTGGAGGACCACTTCAGCTCTTAGCCGGGTATCTGTGGGAAGCCGGCAAGTCACCCAGAAGAGGAAAAAAAAAAAACCAACAAAGGCTCCCTCAGCTGTTCCCTGATCACTTCATCGTGGACGTCAGACCAAATTGCTTTCTCACAGGACATCTCGGTTCATCCGTGTTCGTGAGTGGAAAGGACATATTGCTTTGCAGTTGGCAGGATGGGGAGCTTTCCGGCGTCTGCAGCAGTACTGTCTGTCTGGATTCGCCCCGGGTTTCACTGATGTCTGCATGTGGGCCCCCGTGATCACTGCTTTACTTTCTATGGATACAGTCTCTGCTCCATTGGGAATTGCTTTTACAAATAAATGTCTTTGTTCAACCTTATCTCCTGTGCAGCTTCCAGTGAGAAAACCGAAGTCAAGGGGTCAAGATAGCTCCAGAGGGGGATGGGTAGGGCGGGGGACTTAATTATGTAACAGGGGAAGGTCAGGGAATCTGTGGCCCTGGAACCAGGGCTAGATTTACCCGCCCTCAAAGTCTACACCTGAAAGGAATGCAGTTGGCAGGATGGGGAGCTTTCCGGCGTCTGCAGCAGTACTGTCTGTCTGGATTCGCCCCGGGTTTCACTGATGTCTGCATGTGGGCCCCCATGATCACTGCTTTACTTTCTATGGATACAGTCTCTGCTCCATTGGGAATTGCTTTTACAAATAAATGTCTTTGTTCAACCTTATCTCCCGTGCAGCTTCCAGTGAGAAAACTGAAGTCAAGGGGTCAAGATAGCTCCGGAGGGGGATGGGTAGGGCAGGGGACTTAATTATGTAACAGGGGAAGGTCAGGGAATCTGTGGCCCTGGAACCAGGGCTAGATTTACCCGCCCTCAAAGTCTACACCTGAAAGGAAGGCCTGGGCAGTTCTTAAGGACTTTGGGTTTTCCACACATTTGACAATTTGCAGAGGGGATATTTGGACCTGGCCCCTGATTGGGACTTCTAATTTTGCCTAAAGAGATCACATATGCCCAGATCAACTGCAGGATAAAAGAGGCTCACCATGAAACTTTAAACAGGCCTTTGCTGTTTTTTTTAAATTCCACTTTTGCTTTCTTAGTCATTTATTTCATCCCTTAATAATTGGGTGTGTTAGTCACTTAGTCACTGTTTGCAACACCATGGCCCGTAGCCCACCAGGCTCCTCTGCTCATGGGATTCTCCAGGCAAGAATACTGGAGTGGTTAAGCTATTCCCTTCTCCAAGGGATCTTCCTGACCCAGGGATCAAATCAGGGTTTCCCGCATTGCAGGTGGATTCTTTACTGTCTGAGCCATCAGAAAAGCCCTCGTAATTGTGAGAGTTTTAAAAATGAAAAGAGAGGAAAGAGTTAGGACCTCTAGTTACCACTTAAGGGACTTGGTTATAAGTGGCCCTTCGGAATAGAGGGCGGGGGCTTTTGGTCCACAAGAGTCGTTCACCCCAGACCTTTTAGTGATGTTCTTGAAAGCTCTTTTCTCCCATCCTCCGAGTTCCCCTCCTTCCTCTTTGTTCCCACTGAGGAGAGGGTGGCAGGGCTGTTCTGAAATTAGCGGCCGCAGGGACAGGCTACCATCCTTGTGCCCACCTCCGCTCCCACCCTAAGCCCTCCGGAGCTGGCAAAAGACATTCCCCGCCACTTGAGGGCTGCACTCTGTAGGCACTCTGCTAGCGGGCCCCTGCATTATCTGGGCTGTCTGGCCACCCTCTTCTTGTGACTAAGATCAGTGTGAGATCAGACCCCATGGCTTCCTGCCAAGAAGCCGGCCGAAGGCCAGGCCCTTTGTTGTACGGTTCCCTGGTCTGTGCTCCCGTTTACACCCTCACTGACTCCCAAGGGCCTAGACTTGATTTCTAAGAGCCTTCCTCTCCCCCCTTAATGCCAACAAAAGCACACCCATTAGACATCGTGAAAAGCCATGGCTGGGTCTGAGCTTTGAGGTTTATCCTTTACAGGAAAGAGTCTTCCCCCCCTCATTTGGTCTTTCCTACAACAGTAGTAATCAATAGGGTGGTTATCCCCATTTCAAGGAAATGGAAACTGAAATTTGGCCAGACTGGGCTCTAGGTAAACCCAGCCGTCGCCAGGTGACAGGTGTGGTGGGCTGAGTCGTCTGCCATCCGTAAAACTTCCTGTGGTGGAGTTATCTCCCCAGGCTATGCAATTGTCCACATATTGGCTTTCTGTTAGTTTCCAGGTAGCCTCCCAGAAGTTCTTGTATATGACAGTCTACCCGCGCTGGTGACTTCTTCCATGAGACCTCTACTCGCGGAGACCAGAGCTGCCCTAAGTAAGTTAGGGTCACGGCTGTGCAAGGGAGATTTCCGAACATTTTTTTGCCATGACCCATGGTAGGGACCTCCCTGGTGGCCCAGTGATTAAGAATCCACCGCCTTCCAATGCAGAAGACGCGGGTTCGATCCAAGGTTTGGGAGCTGAGATCCCACGTGCCACGGGGCAACTAAGCCCATAAAGCAACTACTGAGCCCTTGCAGTCTAGAATCCATGCTCCTGCAGCAAGAGAAGCCCTCATATCAAAACTAGAGAGTGCCTGCTCACTGCAATGAAGACCCAGTGCAGCCTAAATAAGTAAAATAGCAGAAAAAAAGAAACATGTGGCAACTGGATATACAACACACCTACTAAAGCAATTATCACAGAACAACACTTATCCTTAACACCTATGATGCACTCTGGTTTTTTTCCCAGTCCTCTTTTTTTTAAAAAGCTGGTTGCACCCTCTTTAAAGGACTTTATAAACCACGAGTATATTGCAACCTACGGTGTGAAAAACACTGCTCTTCAGGAGAAAATCAAGCCCTTCATGAGAAACAGAGAAGCAGGGCTTGTGAGGTGAGAAAGTCAGAATCCTGAATCCTGATAAGAACCCGACCACTCATCTCGGTCACCGCCAAGCAGCACCTCCAGGAGCACGTTAAGCAGCAGCTTTGGGGATTTAGGGTACAGCGCCTACAGAGAAAGAACTGGCACCTCCTGAATCCATTGAAACATTGGGACAAAAACACCAGATTCTGCTCGTCAGCATTCACTTGCTGTGCATCACTGTTATTGTGGGGTGGGCTTGGGTGGGGGATGGGGTATTTTTAAAAGCAATATCCAGATGATTTCAATGCTGCCCATCCACTCATTTAGCCTTTGGGAACCAATTCACCAGCAGACTTAGTTTAATTAAATCAAATGAGGACTCAGAGGCAATATTCCCAAACCTAACACGGCATCAACTTTGATGCATGAGAAGGCCTCCCTCCTCTGACATTGGAAGCATCTGGGACCCTCCGCAGAGCTCAGCGACCCTAAGACACTGTGTCTTATTTCGCTCCAGGTCCTGCGCATCTCTGTCATTAAGAAGAACACAGACAGGGGCACAGGGTGCTTACGACTTGACCCTCGAAAGCTCTGTAAGAAGGAAGCCGTCTGCAGTGGAAATGCGAAGGGCTGTTTCCAGATTCTGGCTCTTTCCAGATTCTCACCTCCCAGGGCATCATGACAGATCAAACACTGTTTCCGGGAAGGCCGTGCACAGAGAGTGTGCTCATGGCTTCAGAGGGGATGAACGCACACAGAGAGACATGTGGGCTGCACAGGGCTGGAAGAGATTTCTCATCCCTTCCAGAAGTCCTGACTTAACAGCCTGCGGTTACTCCACCCTGGATTACATTTGCTTTGGAGGCAAAATGTCATTTGAAGTGATCTCCTTTATCATACACAACTCATCATCAGGCTTCAGCTGCAAATTGTGAAGACATAGCAGAAAGTCTCAGCTCCTTTCTTTGAAAATCATCCAGTCCTCAGGCTTCCATCTGCCACCTGCAGGTCTGCCTTCCTCCCTTGGGGTGAGCAGACTTTCTCGGCAGAGGCCAGAGAGTAAATATTTTAGTCTTTGTGGGCCATACAGTCTTGAGACTACTCAGCTACACATTTGTAGCTTGGAAGCAGCCATAGGTAACACATACGTGAATGGACAGGCTTTGTTTCAATAAAACTTTATTTAACAAGCCAGTGAGTCCTGCCAAGCCCTGCTCTTGAGTGGCAGTTCTCAGATTGTCACGTACAGATGTGAGAGCTGGACCGTAAGGAAGGCTGAGTGTCGAAGAATTGGTGCTTTTGATTTGTGGTGCTGGAGAAAACTCGAGAATTCCCTGGACTGCAAGATCAAACCAGCCAATTCTAAAGGAAATCAACCCTGAATATTCATTGGAAGGACTGATGCTGAAGCTGAAGCTGAAGCTCCCATCATTTGGCCACCTGATGCAAACAGCCCACTCACTGGAAAAGACCCTGAGGCTTGGAAAGATTTAAGGCAAAAAGTAGAATGGAGCAACAGAGGATGGGATGGTTAGATAGCATCACTGACTCAGTGGACATGAATATGAGCAAATTTCAGCAGATAGTGGAGGACAGAGGAGCCTGGCATGCTACAGTCCATGGGCTACTAAAGAGTCAGACACAGCGCAGCGACTGAACAACAACAAATCTCAGATTGTGGTACACAAGCCCTCATCCCCTGGAACACTGGATTATGTTGGGAGGTTTTGCATATCCACAAGCCCATTGCTCTTGACAGAAGGCAGACTCTCCTAAGAAGGAATTTAGAATTTAAATAATAAAAGTAATATAGGCAATTGATCTGCCTTGGTAGAGCTGTGAGGGAATCTCTCAGGATGAATAGAAAGGATATTAATTCTATCAGTGCCAAGGTATGAGCGGAAAGCTGGAGTGATAGGGTGAGACCTTGAAGGCAAAGCCAAATTTAAGGTGGAGCCGGGGAGTCAGCTCTTTCTGAGAAGTAACTGGAGATTCTCAGCCTTGAATGTTCAAAACAGAGGCACAGACTATGTTACAACATCTCAAAAGTCCCCAAGATAGAAGCCTGTACACAGAGACTTCTAGTTTATCTCACTGTGACAGATACAAACTTTAAATATTGCATTAGGAGAACAAAGAGACCTGAGCAGAGCTTCATAGAGCTCTGGAACAGAATTCCAAATGAATAGTTTAAAAATTGGCCCTGGGGACTTCCCTGGTGGTCCAGTGGTTAAGACTCCTTGCTTCCAATACAGGGGACTGGACTCAGGTTGGATACCTGGTCAGAGCACTAAGATCCCACAGGCTGCTTGATGTGGTCAAAAAATAAATTAAAAAAACAAAAGCACAAACATTGGTTGGTCCTAAGATGTTTATAACTCATCCATTACTTCTTGATGGGAGGGGGGAGACAAAATACGTTACTACTAAGAAGAAAGTCCAGGATTTCCAGCTCCCTGTGTTACACAGCCACTTCCTGTTAGCTATCTGTTTCACATATGGTGATGTGTGTGTCTCCCTGCTACCCT